ATTTGACATGTATTAAATGTAATAGAAAGTACTTTGAAGATGATAAAGTTGTTTTGTAAAAAAAAAACTCAAATACATAGCTTTGAAAAAGAAAATTCTGGGTTTTTGGAGCACCCCCTTCGTTGTTCCCATCACAATATGTACCTTCAGGCAAGAACAACTCAACAAGTGTTGGGCACACAAAGAATGCACAATAAACATTTCCTGACCATTGATGTAGAAATACAAAATAGCCTACTATATAACCGTATAATGTTAGTTTCATGAATTGCCTATCAATTTAGGATCATCTATTACAGATCAATTTTTTTTTATGAGCAATACTAGTTGAGTAAACATACTTTGACAAGTTAAGGGCTTTAAACACTTTTCTATTAATAGTTTTAAAAAAAAATCCCCAAATGTCTTAAAAGCCTAAAGGTTAATATAAAAACCAGAAAACCGAACTCACTACACATCGAGCAGATGCCGACGACTCTTAACAACCCTACAGTACAGATTTAGAACTGCTCCAGTGACGGTAACTCTTTACAGGAATAAAAAGCCTTAATCGTTCTCCAGAGGAGCTGTAGGTGTTTTCGAACTGTTGACCTTGTGGATCTCAGCCCATGTAACCATGACGACACCAGGGCTCCTAAAAAGTTAAAATGGGTAACCACAAAGAATTTTAATAAAGCACAACTAAATTTAACAAGTTATAAAAAGGGAGTTAAGAAAGTCAGAAAAACATTCTAAAAGAAAAGGTCATGTCTTATTGGTTGGAGACTATAATCTGCAGATTTCTACAAATAATAGTACTTTTTTTATGTTGCTGTCAGAATTCCTCTCCCAGAAAAAGTAATCAAGTTCCCATGGAAAGATTAACTTTTTTAAAAAGACACTGTCTTGACTTTGGGTGTACCTTTACAAAGCAATTTGTTTCCCATTCATCGGTTTACATTTTATTTTGTGACCTTAGCTGCAATCCACTCAATGTAACAGAACTCCTCCCACTGCCTCCCTGGGTTCCCTGTATACCTTCCCCCAGATTTCCTGCATTCTCAATTTTCTTTCACATATGTTGCCCTTTGGGTGGTTAGTTGTCTGAGTAAAATGTTCCTCACAGGTATTGTTGTTCACATGCCTATTGTTAGGTTGTAACGAGATTTGGGGGAGTAATTTCAGTTCCAAGTTTAAAGGGTGTCTGTGATCCTGATCAGAGTGGTTTAGAAGAGGGGTAGCTGGGTTCCCTCTAGTTCTTCTGTTCTCACAGTAACAGAGGGTATATAATTCATGTGGTACCATACTTTTCAGGAACAGTAGTTTCCTTGAATCTTGAATTTCCTTTAATTTTTTTTTGCTCCAGAGGGGAATAGAGAGTATTCAGTAGACCAGTTGTTGTATCTTAAGAGGAATATTCACAAGCTTTTTAAGCCCAGTTACTACTCATCGATTAGGATTTAGAACATTGTCTGTATACTATATGCCAAGTAACCTAGATGTCCCCAAGACCATGATCCCAAGCCCTCAAGGCCAGTGACTCAGAGCAATCTTTTAACATTTTGAACTTTTTCTTCTAAAACTGTATTTCCAATTTACTAACAATCTATCTGGTTCATATTGAAAAGCAGAATCAGGAAGAAGAATTTTTTTAAATGTTTAAATTCTCTAAAGTGAACTAAGCAAAAAATATCTGAACTGTTAACTAAAGCCTCTATGAGTACGCATAATAAATAGATTTTAAAAAACATTAAGGAACTCTATTAGTGCAATGGGTTAAGCACTGTTCTGTTCAAACCCATCAGTCACTCAGTGGGAAAAAGATGAAGTTTTGCTTTGGTTCTATAAAGCTTTACAGCAAAACCCTATGGAACAATTCTGTTATGTCCTATACATCAGAATTGACTTGATGTCAGTGGATTGGATTTAAATCAACTGATAAACATCCCATAGAGTAGAAAAATGAGCAAAAGGTAAATGAAATTTCACAAAAGAAATACCAATGTCCAATCAACATGTTAAAAATTCGACCTCACCAGTTTCAAAAAAAAAAAGAAAAAGAGGAAAGGCAATTTTTAAAATGACTATTTTAGACCAATCAATCATTGACTAGTGGGGAAAACTAGTATGTATACAGGAATCCTGGTGGCACAATTTGTCAAGAGTTCCGAAAGCTATTCAAACCCCACCTTCTGCTGCGCAGAAGGAAAATGTAGCAGTCTGCTTCTATATTTAAATCCCCTTCTAAAATTGATTGTAGTGATGATTGTGCAACTTTTAATATGATTTAACTATTGAATTGTATATTTTAATAATATTCCAACAAAATTGTTTTTTAAAAAAAGGAAAAAGTAAGGATGTACTGAAGGGTCACAATTAGAATCAAATTGATAGCAATGAGTTTGCTTTTGACTCAACAATTCATCTTAAGGAAATAAAACCAAGATTTAGCTATAAGAATATTTCCAATAATTTTTATAAAAACAGGACACTAGAAAATAAAAAGATCAATAATAAGAGAAAGATTAAAATAGCTTAAAGCTATAATCACAGTATGCATTTGAAAAAATTGTTACTTAGTGACCCAAGTAAGTTGCTCTGGGATTCCTCTGATTTTGAAACTATTTTTGTAGCCTTCCTTTTCCTAGTGAAACATAAGGTATGATCCCCTTGTTATTAAAAAGTATATGTACAGCTTATTCAAAGGTCTGGAAAGATAACTACTGTCCTCTTTTATATCTGCAGGTGGCTAGCAAGTTGTCTTTATTTTTTATTCTTGCTTAACCTGGTCTTCCAATGTGCGTTAACTTTTTAATTCTAAAACTTTAAGTATAAATGATCGAAAACATAACCAATGACTGGTATAAAATTAGTATGCTACTTGGAGAAAAGATAGTCCGGGTACATTCTATCCTTATTTTAAGGAAAATTCTAAACATAAACCTTTAACACAGAATACTTATGTCCTCAATTTTATTTCATAGCATCTTGAAAATGAGGTAACTAGAAAAACAAAATTCCCCAGGTTTTCCATTGTTTCTAGTTCTTCATTTCATCACCATTTATGCTCTCCCATAACTAAAAGAATGATGTCATATGCATTAGCTACATTTTTGTTCCAGAAGCTAACATTAAGAACTTGTAAAGTTTGGCTTGTCATTATTACAACACACTTTAAAGCCGAGAAAGCCGGATGAGATTTCGCTATATGAAAACAAACAAAATTATTCTAAAAGTTAAATGCTACAGTTTATAAAAGTTAACTAAAATGACAGTAAGTTAGGTAACAAGTTCAAAGATATAAGATTATATTTACGACAGATTTTTAATGACGTTCCCTCAAACAAAAAGAAAACAAAAGTTAGGGGTGTAAGCACAGCTGTCCTATTTTTAGGTTCAGACAGAGAGCAATGAAACTACCTTCTACAAACCTTCAATCACTTTCTTGGACTGTGCTTAGTTACATGAGAATTTACGTTGTCCATTGTTTACTACTAGCACTAGATTATCAGATTTACGTTTAACCAAAACACTATCTTCAAATAATAGTTCCATTTTCAAAAGAAAATGTTGCTCCTTAACACACTGTAAAATCTGTTCAGTAGGAAGCTCAACAAGCAGTAACATACTGCTAATTTGAGTGAATCTGGCCAAGGCAAAAAAAAAAAGTGACACGCGAGAAGTCAGTAACTTGGTGCCCCATGCATGTAGTTTCGTTCCACATAACTAGCGCGTTTTAAAAGTTGCATCAATCATAATATTCGTTTATTTTTCAACCTTATGGCTACATCCCTCACAACTGATTTTCCCAAAATTCAAACGTTTGATGTCTTACAGCGTAAAAAAAATCTGTCCCACAAAAAGGTTAAATCAAATGTGGTTACCAGCTTTAACCACGCACGAAACAGAACGCGAGACCAGAAACAGTATTAGCCACTGCATCCTAACGCACAATAGGGTCTTGTCCAGTATTTAAAAATTAACACTGCGGTTTGCCTTTCCCCCCCTCTTTTTCTTTTTAACTGCACAGCTGAGCATTCAATCTGCAGTAACCTACTGCAACAATTTCAAGCAAGTCAAATGCTACAACTGCGGCACGGAGCAGTTAGGTGCCGAACCAACAGCAGACGCGTAAAAAGCTGTAAGCAGATGCCTTCACCATCGGGAAAAAAAAGCCCATCAGCACCTCTTCCGAGAAGCCGTTACCTTCCCCCACCTCTTAGGAGGCACTTTAAGATCGCCAAGGCGTTCCAGGGCAGTCTTTATTAACTGGTGCCCACTTGGGGCGACCGGACACCACGCTGCTCTTAGGCCTGCCCTAACCCATTCCAG